TTTCTGTCAGTTTTTGCTTTAGTGTCTAGTGTTTTCATTATAAACAAGTTTAAAAGGAAGTTTAAAAAAATGTATAATAAAATATTCAACCAAACTGGCCTTTCTTTTAAATGTCCTAAATTAGATAAGTTTCACTTTATTTTTTTAACAGTATTTGAATTTTATTTAACAAAAACAATAAATAATAATAAAAACCAAGACTGACTTAGGGTTGTTATGTATTTACTGTTCTAATAGTGTTCTAATTCTAATATTCAATGAACAGGTAGCCTATAAAAAAAATTCTACTAAAGATGAAAAAGGAATAACAATGGACAGTGAATAAGAATTCAACTAATAAATATAGCACATCCATATAATATAATATAACATTAAGGTTGACAATATTGATATGATGTTCATATACTAATAAAATAAAAAAATTAGGCTATTAAAAAGTGTTTATATCCTCCATTTACTAAAATACTTAAATACACACACAAACCTAAGTTATACATTTAAAAAGTTAACAATAGTTATCTCTAAATAATGGAATTACAAGATTTTCATTTTCCACTTTGAGCTGTATAATAAAGAATTTGTCTGGGCTTTGTCTAAGGTTCCTGGAATGGAGCATATAAACCCTTGGAAATTCCTGAGTAGTAGGAGTATCTTTGTTATTCATAGTAGGCCCTTGGGACCACACCTGAGTTTATGCTAATGAAATGACTCATACTAGGCCGGGAGAGGAGACAGTTTCAGGTTGGGACTTGGGGCATGCTTGAAAGACCAACCAAACAATTAGAGGGTAGAGGCTTTGAGCCATGTGATATAGGCCTAACCTCCTGACCTCCTGGGAGGAAAGGGGAACTGGAGATTGAGTTCAATCAAGTGGCCAATGATTCAACCAGTCATAAGACTTAAAATCCAGAAATATATTCATAAGGTTTTATTCTATGATGCAGTCATTTAGAAATATCATTAAATTGTAATATAAATTATTTACATTTAATATAAATCATACACACATCATAAAACCCCAATAAAAACTCTGGAAACTGAGGCTTAGGTGAGCTTCCTGGTTGGTGAGCACACTGATGTGCCAGGAGTGTGATGCACCCTAATGCTACAGGCAGAGGACATGGAAACTGTACTTCCAGGACCTTCCTGTATCTCACCCAATGGGTCTCTTCTTTTTTGGCTAGTCCTGATTTACGCCCTTCACAATGAACTTTTAATCATAAGTAAGAGTGCTTTCCTGAGTTCTCTGAGCCATTCTAGAGAATTATTGAGCCTGGGGGGTTAGTGGGAACACCCACACATGTGACCAATTGGTCAAAAGTGTGGGTGACCTGGGGACCCTCAAACTTGGGCCTGGCATCTGAGTGAGGGTAGTCTTGTTGGGGATTGTGCCCTTAAGTTTGTACTAACTCTTGTTAGTTAGTGCCAGAATCGCACTGCAACTTGATATACTTTTATACCATCTAAGGGTTTTTATAATGGACTTACATTACTCATAATTAAAAAAACAACTTCCATTTTGAAAAAAAGAAGAAGAAGATCTTGAAATTAAATAAGTCATTACTATTTTAAATTGTAAAATTAATAACATCTAAAGAAATAAGGAGAACCAAATAAGAGCCCGTAAGTACAAATGTTAGGGGAAAAGAAAGTAAATTTGTTTAAATTAAATTAATGAAAAGTTGATGAAGGCAACAAAATAAAAATATAAAAAGTGGTCCATAAAATTTTGTAAAATAAATGCTTCTTTTTTTTAAAAAAGTTACAATTTAAAGATATTTTTAAATGACTGCATCATAGAAGAAAATCTTACATGACTACACTTCTGAATTTTAAGTATTATGAGTAAAGAGAGCAAAAAGTGAAAAAAAAATTTTGGTCATTTGGAGTTTTTTCTGTGAAGTCTATTAATGCAATGATTATGAAACCACCAGACCACAATATACATGTACAGTATTAAGTTGCCTGATTGTTAAAAACCCTTTATTAGCTGCCTTCTCTCCCCATTCCCTGTCCCATTTCCCCATTCCCCTATAGGTACTCTCCACATTACCTTTAAATAAACTTCATGCTTTGGAACTCTTTTCTTAGGGTCTGCTTATGGGGGAATCCAAAGAAAGACACATCTGTCTAGAAAATTTCTTCTCTAAGAGAATTGATTTTCTTCCATAAGCACTGGTGTTTCCAGTGTTTCCATCATGGCACATCCTTTCACATATATATCAGAGTTGCTTCCTGACTAGTAGTCTTGACTTCAGTCTTTTCCCATCCCAAAAGAACATACACACAAAAAGCTATCGACAAAAGCTTAAAAGGGAGGAAAAAAACACTCATGGGAAAAATTATGGCATCATCACTTCCCCTGAAGAAAAATAATTATTAATACGATAACAAAATGCACTTCTGAAAATACCTAAGTTGTTTTCGGAGCTGCTCCATTTCCACATTTTGTTCAGTTACTGTTTTCAGAAAGTGTTGGTTCGTCTGCCACAAGAAAAAATAGAAACATTCAGTATCAGAATATTTAAAACTACATCTTTAGAGATTAACTATAGGCATATAAGTAGAAAAAAATTAAATGAAGTCATGATAAGATTAGATTTTTTGATGGTAAAATATAACCCTGGCCATCTTTTCCTGCCTTTACTGCTTTGGTGGACACTTGCTTCACTTCAAACTACCTGCATCTGCATTTCCGTCTCTTATGGCTTTCTCTGGCCACCTGAGTCTCCTTTGCTCACTTACCTGTGCAGAAGGCTTAAGGGTGTTGTAGAATTCCTGGCCCCAGCCTGCTCTGGAAGAGCCTGATAACAATGACTGAAAGAACTGGCATGTAAATAGCCCAATCTCCTGCGCCCCGCAGTGGGATAACTCTGAGCCATGTTCTACACTGGCTTCCAGAATTCATTAGTGGGATTAAGTTTCAATTATCCACAGTGTTAATTTGCTTGACTGTTAAAAACCCTTTCTTGGTTGCCTTCTCTTCCCTTCCCAGTCTCACTTCCCCACTCCCCTACTGGGGCTCCCTAGTATCATCTCCCAAATAAATGACATGCTTTGGGACCCTTTTCTCGGCATCTGCCTGGGCAGGAACCTAAAGTAAGATATGAAGCAGTCTTCCATGTGGAGAAAAAATTTTTCTAAGTGAACTGATTTTCTTCCATAAGTGTTGTGTTTACTATGATGTGACAAGTTCCTTATCCTTATCTATATGCCTTATAGGCAAAGTCATCTAGATTACAATTACCTCCTAGTTGATTTCAGTCTCTTCCCATTCCAACAGAGCATACATACATCTCGCCAGCTGAAGTCCCTGAGGCAGTTTTCATCGTACTTCTCTCATATTCCACCCAATTTCATTGACTTCATATTTTTAATACACTATGGTATTCCCCTCTACCTGGGATGTCCTCATTCTGCCAAAATTCATCCCTCCATACCCTGTGTGGTCCACTCACTCTAAGGCAGAATTAATTGTTTCCTTTCTGCATTTTTACAAAACTTTATATGTACTTTTACAATGCACATTGCTTTATATTTAAAGTTTATATATTCCTGGCTACAATATGAGCCTTTTACTGAAGACCAGCTTCTCCTAGAACTTCCAATGTCTGGCACATGATTTAGTACATTCTAGGTACTTAGACCTTTGAGGAATGAATGAATGAATGAATGCCTTTATTGAGACATGAAAGAGAGCCTGAGGACTGCATCTTTTCCTTTATCTTGGAAAGCAGACAACTGTAGGCCAGAATTTAGTATTCAATTTACAGACCAAAATTTAAGAGACCAACTATCACACGCAGAGAAAGAAAGAATAAAGACAGGTAGGTAAATTATACCACACCAGAAAAGTTAAAAAAAACAAACAACTGGGTGTAACATTGGGCATGAATCAGAAAAGGCATAATGGTTACACGCAAATAATTGAAGAATTGACTTGAAGAACAAGTGAGCTTGTTCTACTGTACTCCAAAAGATAAAATCATGTATCAGTGAGAAGAAATCTGATAAGAGAGATTTTAGCTTTCTAATAATCAGAGTTCAAAGGCACAGGCTCTTTGGGGAAGTGATAATATCTTTTACAGGGGATATTCAAAGCAGAGGCTAGAAGATCACCTAACTGAAAAGCATTTAATAGAGGGATGTCTGTATCATTTGGGTGAATAGATGACCTTTAACATCATTTCAAATTCTCCTGTGAAGCTATCCCAATAACTTCAGCCCCCACTGAAGGAATTCAGGTCTCTGAAGTCCTCTATAACATCTGTAATGCACCATTAGTGTTTTATTACATACACTGTCTCAACACTTGCATAAATAATGCTTTCGTTTTTTACTATTTGGGAGCACCTTAAAGATAAATGATGTAGAGAAATTAGCAGAAGTATAAATTGGCATTGTGAATTTTAAGAAGCTAGTATTGGGAAGTAACACACTTAAGTTGCTAGCAAGCCTAGCAGGAGCTCAACAACTGCATCTGAATATGGCTCTGATGTTCTGTATTTGTGATCACAGAGAAAATTATATATGGTCTTAATTTTCTAGAATTTGGAGATTCATAAAGGTCCAGGGAAGCATCCCTTTCAATCAACATCCATTTCAGCACCTTAGTCACTTCATATGAATAAGATTCATATGATCATTTTATATGTCATTCTTGTTTTACCAAGCAGACAGGGGCTTTGTGGATAGACGCACATTTCTCTTGCAACTAGAGAACCTATGACAGTGGAAGGAACTTAGTATGCAATTAATAAATATTTTTGAGTAATTTTATAGAGATGAGCAAATCTCAAAAAAGAATACGATTGGGGCCAGCCCGGTGATGATGGTTAACTTCGCACGCTCTGCTTCCGCAGCCTGGGGTTCATGGGTTTGGCCCAGGGTTCACGGACCTACACACCACCGTGGTGGTGTTTCACATACAAAATAGAGGAAGACTGGCAGACATGTTAGCTTAGGGACAGTCTTCATCAAGCAAAAAGAGGTAGATTGGCAACAGACGTTAGCTCAGGGCCAATCTTCCTCATCAAAAAAATATATACATATATACCTATGATTTTAGTAAAGAGAATTTCTAGGAAATGTGAGCTCTTATTGTATCTACAGCCTTAATAAATAAATATAAACTTGTACTTTCATGTACCATTCAGGTTAGGGCATTTTACCTTTTGGATATTTCTAATGTGCATTGGTGGGAAAAGATATTTTATTTACTCCTTGTATACTCATCAATTTATTGCATATCAATAAGAACCTATTCATTTAAATGAGTTTATTCATGTAATAAGAAAAATTTTTAATGAAAACTGCTTGATTTGTGTGTGTGTGTGTGTGTATTATATCCATAGCTTGTTATTCTTAGTTTTGGCCTGAAACTATGAATTCTTTTGCTTTTGAAATTCTTAAGTTTTTCCTGTGAATACTCAAATATTCTTTTCCCATGACTTTTATCAAAATGATTTTGAGCTGTTTATAACAAAATAGAGGCTCTGTGGTATAAGATCCCAAAGGATTATATAATCCCCATAATTCTAGGAGATATACTAAAAGAAAGAATGCATAATTGTGATGTTAGGTTAAACCATTAATTTTATGTAGAAATATGATTTCTTAATTACAGAAATCAGTCATCATTTTGTTCTGGAGTACTTTAATACTATTTTAAAGCTCTAAGAAGTAGATAATCAACAATTATAAGCGATTAGAAATTCCAAATGTTAACATAAGCAAAATAGAAAGAAATTTCTTTAATAATTTTTTACATGATTAAAGAAGAAACTTTTAAAAAGCAGAATAACATTGGATTAACCTTACTTTTGATGGCACAACTCCACTCTTAAATAAAGACATTTTCATTTTAGGGATTAACAAGAATTAGCAGAATAACTAAGTAAAATGAAGACAGAAAAGAGAGGAATTACCTGGGATGTCATAATCCTATTACTCAACAATGAGGTAAAATAAAATTCCAAGAAGGAAAAGAAAAGGTGAGAAAAGAAGAGAAAACAGAAAAGTGAGACAGACAAAAAGGTAAAGAGCAGAATTGGGAAGGATAATTGTATTTCTTTTTAGGAAAAAATTAAAGGGAAATTTAGAGGTACCAATTAGTACTGGTGGTCAATCAACTAATAAATGGTTCTTGGTGTCCTACTATTTTTAAGGAATGGGGCTACTCATTTGTTTAACGGTGCCATTACTCTCATTATATACCTAGCAGTGTGCTAGATGAAATACTAAGAATAAAGCATGAGTCCTACTCTTGAGGAGCTCACAGTCTAGATTACTCTCAGGAGATCCTACCAAGCACCCCAAGAGTATTTTCAGATTAGGATATATTTCAAAGAGATGTCAACTTTACATCTCCAGATAGTACTGTGAACCCTGTCATGCTACTGAATGTGAAAGAAAAAGACAGATAAAAGAGTACTGCCTGCCTATTTTAATTTCATGCAACATGTTTTTCTTTGTTGTTGATTTGCAGTAGCATAAATAAACATTATTTATAGCAACAATTTCTAGTTTATATAAACAAGTACATCAAATGGATATTTTCACTTACCATTTCTATGTTCTCATTAGTAACATGAAGTTGCTTGGTCAGTTGTTGAAAATTGGTCAGCTGATCCTATAGCAGGAAGGTGGGGGGGAGGTGTACATAAATAGCATTTTGTTTGCAACCCCTAAATAAAATTAAACCAAAATCAAGTCTAAAATCATTATGCCTAAGTCTAGATGAAATCAGTTGTATTTCTTCTGACTATTATTGTGTGAATTAAGAGTTGAAGAAATGATAAGATAATGATAAATTTTTTTTAACGATTACAAAATTGAATAAGGTGGCAATGTGGAAACCAATGTAGCTATCTCTGTTTTATGTAAAACCATTATTTCTAGAAATCAACTCGAGTAAATAGACATGCTAAAGAGACCTTGTCAAATATTGGAAAACCACATTCAAACCTATTCAAAACCTACCATTCGAACTATGGCACAAGAGTTATTGTCCCTGTTCTCTACTTTTAAAAATTCTCATGGCTTAAATGCCCCACAAGTTTTAAATCGTTTGATTATCTGTTATGATCCTATTAAACATTATATGTGCCGGTGACTCAAAGTTGGGAAGGACCCTTAATATGTCAGATGACAGAATTCAAGATTGATAGATAACGGGGGAAATAAGGACAAAGTATTATTTGTAAAGTCAAAAAACCCCTTACTTCATAGCTACAGCACAAGATTGATCGTATTCAGCTGAAAAAACCAAAAACCTAATGGCTTAGTTGATTGAACTAAATGAAGAAAAAGCCTTAAAGAACATACTTATATTAGAAATGGTTTCTAGATCTCAGAGGTAAAAGCCTTATGGATCAGACACATGGGGATTATTTTCAAAGTGTGGCATGTATAGAAAAATAACCTTGTAAACTGCAAAGCATTATGTAAGCATTATTATGGCTTCTTTAGAAATCTCCAATTACAATGATAATAATAGGAACAGTTATTAACTGGAATTTGAAAAGTCAATAAATGAGAGTTGAAGAGAGGCATGATGATGACTGTAGTTAAACAGTTGCCTTCTCAAAATCCACAGAAAAAGGATCAAAATTGGGATTACTTCACAGTTTTCAATGTATCTGACAGAAAAAGAAGGAATGGAAGGATAGAGGAGGCAGATCTTCCAATGGAACGGATGCTCTTCTGAGATAGTGAGTTCTTGTCAACAGAGGTACAAAGTGAAAGCTAGATGTCCACTTTGAAAGAAAATAAAATTATTCTTGCTTTGGACAGAAAGAAGTTCTTTTACAAGTTATAAATTATAAATAACTTGTAAAATTCTATTCTGATTAATTTATGTTAGACAAACTTGACATCTCTTTCAGTAAAAGATTACATTTAAGATGTTAACATTTTCATTTTACATAGCATTGTTGCTATATTTGAGCAGGTTTCTTCATTGGCCACGATCTAATGAACAATTTTTTTTTTTTGTTAGCCAGGTAAGAAATCAAGAATATAAAAGCTTTGGAGGTCTATTTATACGTAATAATGTTATAGATGCTTCTTAGCACTAAATACAGCTTCCATTGCTAATCACATCATAAAACCCAATATACACTAGGCACTGCTTTAATTATCTTATCTGTTCAAGAGATTTCTAATCTTCAGAGATCTGTCTATTGTTAACATAAATAACATAGCAGAGACTTAAGCATTCCTCTCCAAAACTGAGATTCTCCAGATGCAATTTCTTATTGATATACAAGAACACCATGAAATCCAAGATTACCTTTTGTTTTTGACTTTCAACTACATGAATCTGGGCCTCAGTCATATGTTCCTGGTAAAGTTTCTGCAATCTGTCTAACTCCTGAGAGACAGTCTGCCACAGTTCCACAGCCTGAGATTTTTCCTATAAAACAAAAACATTTGAGAACTTGTTAAATTATTAGCATGCTATTGCATAATACAAATGAATCATATTCTTTTACAGAAAGAGCTCTTGTATACAAAGTCACAAAGTAAAAACAGAACTTGTGTAAAGATGGTATAGTTGCAATATTTTTGACAATTTGAAGTTATATTAATAATTTAGACCATAAACTTAAAAATGGAAATTCCTTATTTTAAAATATTCTTTTTATTCAGATTTCATAGTTTAAATTAAAACACTTAAATCAGAAATATGGATCTAAACCACTTTCCTTGTTCTACAACAAAGTGTAAGTCTTAGAAATTACTGAAGAAGAAAACCGTCCCCGGTAAAGCACAGGACTTTTTTTCTGATTGCAAAAGTAATAAATGTTTATTGTAAAAAATTAGGAAAATATAGAAAATAGAGAAGAAAATAAGAATTACCTATAATTTTACCATCTGATAATCAATATTGCTAACATCTAGATACAATCTTTATAAATGTTGGATATATTCATATTTATAAATGTGATTTGGGGGGAATTTTGTATTTTTTCCTTTGAACAAAACTGAGAATCAAATAATGTGCCATTTGTATTGTACTATTTTCACTTGGTATTTTATAACGTGAGTTTTCTCAAGTGATTAACTATTCTTTCAATACAACAATTCTCAAATATAGTATGGGGACCCTTGAAGTCAAAATTATGTTCATAATAATGTGAAGACATTATTTCCCTTTTTCCTCTCATCCTCTCATGAGCGCACAAGGGAGTTTTCCAAAGTTTACATGATGCGATGTGTGATGCTGTCATCATTCTGATGGCTACTGGAACGCATTCTTATGCTCCCTTTTTTTAAAAAAAAGTCTCAGTTTTAATTTGTAATACGATAAATATTGACAGATACATAACCCACCAAAACAAAAAGCTCTTTGAGGTCCTCAATAATTTTTAAGCATCCTGAATAGGGGTCCTGAAACCAAAAAAGTTGAGAAACTCTAAGCTAGCATATAGACAGCATTATTCTCTTTTTAGAAAAGTGGAATTTGAAGTTCAGACCATTTGCCTAGGGTCCCTCAGTAAGTTGTTGTCAGGGTTAGGAAGAAACGTTCATTTCTGTCTCTAAAGCCCAAATATTTAAATCCCAGGTCAGAGTTAATCTACTATCTCAGTTTTAGTAACAAGGTAAAGTGTAGTGAAAACATACGCATTTTGTAACTTAACATAAATACAGGTTTTTAAGTTTTAAGGAAACTACTGCTGAGGCATAACATGCATTCAGAAAACACACAAATCATCACTTTTTATAAAGTGAGTACACCCATGTAACCAGCACCCAGTTCAAGAAAGACAACATTACCGGCACCTAGAAGCCAGATTTCCTTCTCTTCCAGACACTATTATTGCCACCAAATAACGATTACCTTGACTTCTAACATCATTAATTAGTTTTGTCTAAAACTTACATAGTTTTAAAATTTGCAGACAAAGGCAGAATCTAGAGCCAGGAGACTTGGGCTGGATCCCTAATTCCTGGCTGAATAATCCTGGACAATTCATTTCATTTCCTTAAGACTGTTTTCTTTTCAGTAGAATGGCCAAAAAAATGCCTCAGACCTTTTGACTGCAGTTTTTCAAATGTGCCTGATAGTAAGAATCATCTGGACTGCTCGTTAGGGAATCCAGATTCTCCTAGAGCAGTGGTTCTCAAAGGACTAGCAGCATCAGCATTACCTCAGCACCTGTCAGAAACGTAAACCATTGAGTCCTATCTCAGACTTCTTAAATCGAAACTTGGGCGAGGGAGGCGACAATCTTATTTCAACAAGCCCGTGGGCGATTATGATGCACACTAAAATTTGAGAACTACTGTACTAATATATAATTGTTTAAATGATATAACCCATCATTTGGAAAAACCACAATTCAAATGACTCTCTATTCTTAAATTTTTAAACTACCTCCAATTTTTCATTATCATAAACAATATGATAATGAACATGTTTATTCATAAATTTTTACATACAGTTTCTTAGAACAGATTCCTAGAATCTATTTTATGTCATCATCTTAATTGGTCAATGAACATGAACATTTCCAGAGCTCTTACTGTTTAAATTGCCCCCCAAAAGATTTTTACAAATCACACTATTGTAGCAGAACAAAATACTCCAAACTAAAAATACTAAGTTAGGTACTTATTGTACTAGTGCTATTGGCTCGCAAGGCAATTATACTTGCTCTAGACAGCACCTTTTGCTCCTAATTTAATTCTTATTTGTTTATCTTGCAGTTTAGTAATGATGATGATAAAGATGATAAAAATAATAGATAAATTTATTAACTTACATATGTGCTTGGCATTACACTAAGTGCTTTATGGGGATTTTAAAATTATAATCACCATAAGAACTCCATAAGATAAGAATTATCATCTCTCTATATAAATGAGGAAAGTAAAGCATGAAGAAGTTTCCCAAGATCATAGAGCTAGAAAGTAGAATGAGGACCAAACTCAAGAAGTTTGACCATAAGTTTCTTCCAAAAGTCTGTGTGTTCCAGAAAAGCAGGAACCAACATTCTCCACTGTATCATCAACACTTAGGACAGTGCCTCGTACAAAATAGACACCTAATAAATATTTTGTGGAATGAATGAAGATGTTTGAATAGTCAATTAAACTCTCTATGCCTAGCACTTTAATGAGGCATAATAATAAAGAATTCTTTTTCTCTCAATTTTCTATTATAAATTGTATTTAATTTAGTTTTTATCTGTTCAGTTTGGATTCAACCAGTCTTAAAGCATTCACAAAGGTCTTTCAATCTAGTGATGGATACCAAAACTGTACGTGTTTTATCAGACCTTTAAAAATGAAATACATAAACATGTATGTATAGATAATAAGAAGAATTAACATTTGACTTCATTGTTTTATAAATTTATTAACATTTTCTATTATTGATACTTTATAAAATTACCTAAACACTCATTCAGTTAAAATTTTATATTCATATACAAAGTACCTTATAGATTTCATGGGAAAATTTGTTTATAACCAATTTGCTTTTTCCTTTTTGGTTGCTCAAACTTGGACCTCACCAAATCTTCTATCAAGTGATGACCCAAAATGTAGCAAAAAAGTAGGACCATCTTCTGAGACACAGTACCACACCAAACAAGATGCAGATGGAGAAAGGCAAAGAGAGGGGAAGACAGGAGAAGAAAGGAATGAAGCATGAGAGAACAAATGTGGTTAAACAAAAAAAAGGAATAAAGTAATTTTCAAGTTTTAATAAAATTTAGCACTGGAGATTACAGCAACAAAAGTACTATAGAGAGATGCTTTTTAGAGACAGGGTTCTTTTTCAGTTTTGTTTTGTCTTTTTGAAACTACAAATCTTATCTAGTTTTGTACTCCACTTTCTTTGTCAAAATTAAATTTTTCTTCAGTTTTATTGAGGTATGATTGACAATCATTGTATTTATTTAAGGTGTACAAGAGAGGGTTCTTTTACATATGGTCTATCAAAGTCTTTTTCAGGAGTAATAAGAAATGCATATTGTGCCACAGCTTATAAAAGACATATTTAATATCTGGTTAAAAACCACTTATAAGTCCACATTAATTTCCATTTATTTCAACATAAACATTTATAAATCCTTCCTGATAATACTGGTCTAGAACAGAGTAAAGAATATGTTTTCCTCATTATGCTTTTACTCTATTACTTTTTCAGATTAAAAAAAAAATTCAGTGTTAAATAATGCTGCTTATCAAGGTAAATATAGCTTATCTGATTAACTTAAAATATCACTTTACTTAGAATTTCAAAACCAAATTTCCAAGGAATAAAAAATAGGACTTTTCATAGATAAGAATAAAATCAAAATTGTAATAAAGAATTTCTAATCCTCATTTATAAATGAAGAAACTGAGACACACAGCTACAAAGTAGAAGAATGGGATTCAAGTCCATACAAGATATGAGATATCTAGGATATAAAATTTTAAATTAAAATAAAATTCCCTTACCTATAATCACAAAAAATTACAGTATTGAAAACAGGCTATATATAACATAGCTTCCCAAATATTTCAATTACTATGAGGGAGGTAAAAAGGAGAAAAAGTGTAATTCTAGAAAAAGTATATCTTTAGAAAAATATAATTCTATATAATCTTTGAAAATCTAAAAAACACACAGTAGAGAGAACAAAGAAAAATGTAAACTTAGGCAAGTGGATAATTGATGATTTTTTCTTTAAAATTTTTCTTTGGCATTAAAATATTTTTATAAGACATAAAAAATCATGTCAAAAGCTTTAGATTCAATCAAAATATATATTGGGCAACTTTATTTATAACAAACAGTGAGGGTATATATTACAAGTTTTGTTACCTGTTAACTATTATGCAAATTGTAGAAAATCATTGAGTTAACAATTTTGTTATTCTGTTATCATCATTCATATATAACGATTAACACAAATTCTTTAAAACTCTTTATTCATTATTTATTCAGGATATAATTAAAAATATAAAAATATCACTCACTTGATTGGCTAGTTGTAATTGTTCTTGAAGATTCCTGACTGTTTCTTCATCTGTATATAGATCATCTCCCATCTCTGGGCCAAAGGGAAGGGCCTCCAGTTGCTTTTCAACCGCATCTTTTAATTCACTGTGCAACCTTTGGAACAAAAAGTTAACATAATAATAAACTAAATTCATTTTAGTAATGGTAATTACTGTCTTGGGGTCAACTAAACAAACATTTGGGTCAAAAATCATTCTTTACACAAAAATTATTTATAAGATGACCTCAAAACGTAGAAGTGTTTAGTTACCATTAAATGCTGTGCTTTAAGAACAAACGTATTGTAGCACAATTTCAAATGCATTAAATTAGTCATAATTAAAGCATAATTCAGTTTGTCCTACGGAGATTTTAATTTTTCAAAAAGGGAAAATTCAGATATTACACTTTATTGATAAAACAAGTCGTTTGAAAAAAATTTTAAATATGACAGTAGTTCCACCTAGTTAATTATGGAAAAACAGAAAATCTGAAAATTTTCTATTCTGAGGCTCTGTTATTGTACTTACAAATTTAAAATTGTTATATCATTTATCATTAAGAAATGTCCCCTTTTATCTCTAAAAATCCCTTTTGCATTAAAGTCTCCTATGTCTGATATTACCAGCTTTCTTTTGGTTAGCACTGGCATGGTATATCTATTTTCCATCCTTTTATTTGCAACCATTCTATATTCTTACACTTTAGGAATCTCTCTGATAGGTGTACACTATGATTGGTTTCTTTTTTTAAACCTCCTCTGATGAATTACTGTTTTTCAATTGCAGCATGTAGTACATTGAAATTTAATGTAATTACTAATGTATTTGGGTTTATATCTATTATCTCAGTATTTGCTTTCTGTTTTCCCTGCCTATTATGATTTTTCTCTCCTTTCCTGCTTTCTTTTGGGTTACTTTTCATTATCCCATTTTTCTACTTTACTGTCTTTGCAGTTATATGACCTTTTGCTTTACTTTTGGAGATTATGACATGCATCACTAAATTACCAAATTCTAAAATAAATTAGTATTCTATTTATTTTGGGGAATGTGAGAATTGAGAATATTTTAACTCCAATTACTCTTTTCCCAAATTTATAATATTGTTGTCTTGTATTTTAATTCTCTATAGATATTTTAGAGACATTATTATTGTTTTAGAATAGTTGATGTTCATTAGATTTTCTCCCATAGTTACCCTTTCCTGTAATTCCAAGCTTTCATCTGTGATTATTTTCCCCTCTTTTTGTAGACTATCCTTTTGGGATTTTCTTTAGTTTTGCTAATGATAATTTTCTCAATTTCTTTCCACCTGAAAATGTACTTATTTGACTTTTCTTCTGGAAGGATATTTCACTGGGTACAGAATTCTTAGTTTTTCTTTCATCACTTTGAAGATATTCCATTGTCTCCTGATTTCCATCATTTCTATTGAGAAGTCAGTTAATATCTTATTGCTGCTCCTTTGAAGATGATCTCTTCCTGCTTTAACACGTTTTTCTTTTTCTTTGATTTTGTATTTGATTTTACAATAATGTACCTACGCACAGCACTTTTGTATTATTCTGCTTATCATGCACAGTGTTTCTTTAATCTGTGGATTGATGTTTTTCTCCGTCCTCTTGTTCTAGGACTCAAGTTATATGAATTTTAGCTCTTTTCACTATTTCCCCTATGTCTCACATTATTTTTTGTATTTTCTATCACCTTGTCTCTCTCATCTTCATTCTGAATGTTTTCTTCTGACTTGAGTTGCATTCCATTAATTCTCTCTTCAGTCATGTCTCATTTCCATTGCTGCATTTTTTCAGTTCTACAATTTCTATTTGGCTCTTTTTTTTAAAAGTTCCTAGCTCTCTTATCAAAATTCTCAAAATTGTGTCTTATTTCATTGAACATATTAAGCAGTTATTTTAAGACTAATTCTGTGGATCTGTTTATATTGCCTATATTTCCTATGATTTTTTAAACTATGCTATCTTCAATCTTCCCATCACTAGTTCTTTTTAGGCCAGTTATGAGCCAGATATCACATGCAAAAATGTACAGAGCTACTTCCAGGCCTAATAATGATGTTATCTTCCTCTAAAACAGTCGTCTTTATCTTTTTTCAGGTGGCTAGGGGCATTATCAATACCTGATCACCTTCTACCAACATCAAAGATTCAGATAATTCAGAGCTATATTTCAGATCTTTTTAGGACTAGTCTATTTTTGGGGTCACTCTTACTCCCAGGGACTCCCAACTCAATGCCTGGAAGTTCTCTTCTTCTTTCCTGAGGAAGATTTGCCCTGAGCTAACATCTGTTGCCAATCTTCTCTATTTCGTACGTGAGCCACCATCATAGCATGGCCACTGGTAGATAAGTGGTGTAGGTCCAGCCTGGAACTAAACCTGGGCCACCGAAGTGGAGTGTGCTGAACTTAACCAGTAGGCCACTGGGGCTGGACCTCAATGCCTGGAAGTTCTTGAGCCACCCACCCAGGGCCCTGAATTTCAATTTTTTTCTCTAGCCTTGTGAATACATTTCAAGATCTCGGTTTTTTAATCTCTCTTCACCTCTTCCAGGATAGGGAGATACACCTGGGGGAATGTAATCCCAAAGGCAGGCTTCTATCCCTGAATTTCTTTCTTTCCCTGATTTTTTGCCCTATAATTTCTTATTGACTCCAATTCACTTCCAAAGATTAGATTTCTGTCCAAACTTTCTAGTTTTTGTCCATATTCTCTCATTTTTCTCAGAAGGAGTCTGGTTACCTAGTCTGCCATTACTATAAACAGAACTCTCTAGTTCATTTATTTTCAATTTTATCTTTCAATTAACTAAAAATGTTCTGAGTAGTAGCTTGGTACAAACTAGCATCTCATTAGTTTGATGTGTGGTTCATTTTATTCAGTTTTTAATTTTAGTTTTCAATTCCTCTTTATCGCAGGAGTTAGTTGAAAATGTAGTTAAAGTCTTCGTGCCCATCTTTTGTTATTTCTAATTTTATTGTAGGTGTGCTTTATGTTTAATTTGTACATGTGTATGTGGTGTGGAGGGTTTGCAGCAGTCCATGTCTATGTTTGTAAATGTTTTATAGGTCTTTTAAAAAAATAGTATACTCCTGCTGGTTGATATATGAGTAGCATAAACAGAAAATCTATACACATATACTCAAACTTGTTATTTGCTTTTTATATCCTCTATATCCCTGCTTATTTTTGCTCTTGTTTTCTTTGAAATGTAATATAGTTGCAATACTATAATGTATTTGTAAATACTGATTAAATGCATTTAATCTAATTCTCCAAAGATATTAGCAGTATAATTGAGAAAATAAAACCATTTAAGTACTGCAAAGGTTTAGGGAGTTAATCTTTTTCAAAACATTGTTTTTTATGTATGGTTAATAAATCGTGAAGAACAGACATCGATAATTAAGTTCAGCAAATATTTGAAGAGATATTACATACAAGATAGTAAGATACTTCTGGTTCTGGTTGTATTTATTTAAATACATAAGCAAGTCAAAATGTAACAGACATAGGAAAATAAAAACGAGAAAGTTCCATCACATTTGGTTGGCTTGATAGTATGAGGAGAAATCACATAAAGCTTCATGGAAGTAAACAGTGTTATCCTTATTTATTAATAACAGTAGTAGCACCACACTTCTCTGTATAGCTGCTTTTTCTGTAGTCACCATCAACTAGCCGATCTCTATTTTCTAGTGCAAATTCTAAAAGATGTCAATCTTGTTGGTTTAACTAATTGTAGAACTGGTTAGCTGAGAGAAATGATAGACAGGCCACAGCTAGGAAGCTAGACAATCAGGAAGCAGCTATACCAACTGCTGGTTCCAGGATCACACCTTTTTAGCTGAAACCCTGGGATCAGGAAGTTACTGCCAGAGCTACTGCCTTCAGGGACACCCCGCCTTAGTTTTGACAGAAGCAGCTGCCAGAATTATTGGCTCTAGAGCCACACTACACTTAGATTTTCATCCACAAAAATAGATCCTCAGATACTGCTTCTCCTCCTACTTATCACGTAATTTAGATCTTTACAAGTGTTTATCATTAGCAGAACCTAATTCATATCCTGAACTAGTTCTTTGGCTTCCAGCCTCTACAGTGCAGGAAGGTATACTAAAAGGAGGCTGGAACAGATGTTAAGCTAATTATTATATCTGCCTTAACTTGTTATTATAATTGTACAATTAAATTAAATATGACCCAAGTGATAAAAGTACAAAAGAGGTGCTTTTTTCTACGAAACCTAAACCAAATATGAAAGACTCAATAAAGATGAGTTGTTAAGTAGTTGCTGTTGAATTAGAGGGAGGTAAAATAATCATAAAAAGTCGGAATACTATAAAATCACAGAGGATCAAAAGGAGATCAAAAAGATCTCTAAGTTCTCACCCTTCCTCAAAGAAACCAAAACAGGAAATTATAAAGAATGAATTATATAGTTTATGTATAAAAGACAACAAAGGACTACAATTAGCAGCCTTACTCAAAGTAAAGACCTTGGCAAAATATCAAAAAATTAAATAAATGCACGTTTATAT